TATGCTCGAGCGTGAGACTCAGGTCCTTGCTCAATCGTGAATTCTCTCGCTCGAGCGGATTGCAAAACACATGAACTTCTGGGCATATGCATTTCACGCTCGATCGTGACTTTCCACGCTCGAGCGGAAGTACATGTACTCAGAGTGTACGCTCGAGCGTGAAGTCCCCCGTTCGAGCGTGGATCCAAAATCTGAAATTTCCAGATTGATCCTCAAGTTCAAAACTCAACTTTTAAAGCTTCAAATTCGATCCCCTTGGGCTAATTTTCTGGAAAACTCTTGGAAACTCGTAGTACAACATGTTTTTGAAGATCATTTGTAAAATCAAGCCTAAGGGTAAGCCAATTGAATACAAAAATTAAGTGTAAGCATGAAGAACAATGCAAGATCATACATGCATGAGTTCTCATGAACTCTAGTGTTCCAAAACAAGATCAAATGCAATGTTGAGCTCAAAATCATGATGAATTCATGGATCAAAACAAAGATATGAACATGCATGTGAGAGTTCCATGAAAAGCAACCTTAAATTCCAAAATAAGGACATGCATGCATGAATTTACTCTCAACTCAACACTTTAAACTAATTCTTGACTTTAAACTCCAAATTTCCATGATCCATGCAAGATACAACTTAAATTCACAAATGAGAGGATGAAATCTCTACCTTAGGTCTTGAATTCAAGGTATACGAGCTCAATTATGCAATCTCTCTTCAATCCCTCTAATTCTCCAAGCCAAATTCTCAAGGAAACCAATATACTCTCACTCTCCCTCTCTTTCTCGGTTTGGTCTCAAAAGATGAAATGGATGATATAACAAACTTGAATAAAGTAGGAAATGGATGGTCTAGAGTCAAGCCACTAAGTGGTAATTACGTAAATAATCAAACTATTGTAAATCAACATTATTTAATCTAATTTAATCATCCCAAATCAAATTTTAATTAAACCTACCATAAAATCACATAAATTCTAGTAAGCATATAACACTAATCAATTTCTGGTTCGGTCGCCGATAAGACCTTCAATTCGCAATTCAAGGTTAAAACAGGAACATATCATTTAATGACTAACAGATAAAAATGCAATTAAACAACATACTCATGCATTCAGTTCAGAATTTCAGTCTGATCAATTACTTATCATGCTTAATAAGAGATTAGCACTAATCAGAGGTGAGGGTTGTCACAGGTTGTCTCATTGATTTTTTTTAATAGCATGTGAATCTATGACACCAATTGTTTTTTGGTACTGTGTGAATCTATGGATGAGGGATTCTAGCGCTGACGCTGTGAGGATCCGTTGTCCCAAACCTTTTTTTGACAATCAAAATTGTTCATATTGTAATATTCGTCAAATAAATTATTCATATAAAAAAATCAAATTAATAGACATTTATACTTCTATAATTAGCGCACATTTGTTTTTAAAAAGTTAAACGAGTAACATGATCTTAATAATTTTTTAAAAATTTTAAGCCTCATGAAGTCTTCCAAACCCGTCATCCGTGAATCTATACAAAACACAACGCTAAGTGTTACTAAATTTATCAAATTCAAAAAGAAAATATTTTTCCGAATATAGTTAAAGCATATGATTATTATTGTTGAATCAATCTAATTTTTTTTTAAAATTAATAATCTAAACTTCTAAAAATTGAAAAAATTATTTTATCAACGGGGAGTTTAGAATAAACTTACAGGCCGAACTAGATTGATTCGGTCCACAATCAACTGGACACAAGCCCAGCCCATACATTAATACACAAGCCCTCTCGTTTTTTTGATCATCAATCATAATAAGAGCACTCTGAATCGCACGGTGTACATGTAGTTTGACCCTTGAATACAATTCCTATCATATCCATACAGAATAATTGCCTACATGTGTACTAGTGGTCCAGACCACTATGCTCGTGACACGTGTCAACTGTCATGCTTGCTAGAGCCCAAGTACTCGCCCGCCAACATGTGGCCGTTTCATGGGTCCTAATTAGGTGTGGTCCTCCCCACACATGGAACTGTGTACCTCAACCTTTTCCACATAATCCAATGGCTCTGATTTAAAAACTTAATCACACACCAATGGATGCAAATTTGACATCATTTCACAATAAGATCACAACCGTTGGACAGTCGGTATGTCTAATCACGCTAACAATCAGACGGTGAATATCCAACAGAAAACATTTAGACAATATACATGCACACTTCATTACCTCTCTCCCTCTCTCTCAGTATATATACATGTGTGTGTATGCATATAGTGCAACTGTACAACAGTTTCCTTAACAGGAACCGAAGATCACTTTGCTCAGCCACCACCCGCCGCCGCGAACCACCACTCTCTCTCTCTCTCTCTACATATATATATATACTAGTGGTGTGGCACATGCGATGCATGTGCAATTCAGATAAATAAGCATAAAAACAAATAATAAAGAAATTAATGTAATAATATGTATATTGTCTAAATGGTAAGAGTGTTCTTAATGAAACCCAAGGTCTTGGGTTCAAATCTTACTCATGCCTTTGAATAACATTTTTTTATTTTAGGATAGAAAAATTTGCCACGTTATTAGACACCAAGTCATGTGCTCACATATATAATAGTATAGATATATGTGCTAACAGTTTGACATGAAGGAGATAAAAAGAGAAGAAGAAGAGGAAGAGAAGAGAATAAGTAGATTGCTTCTGAGTACGATGGAGGGTTACAGTGACTCTGTAATTCCTCCATTAACGGAGCTCTCGCCGGTATGTGGAACCGCCATTGATGAGAAAGGTTCGAGCTCGAGAAAGAGAGGCAGAGCAAAAGCAACAGAGATCGAAAACATCCAGAAAGAGCGTAAGAGGAGAGAGAAAATGACTGAGAAGTTCTCTGTTCTTCAGTCCATCGTCCCCAATCTCCTCCCCAAGGTTCCATTTCAATTATCACTAATCTCAAAATTCAAATTCAAATTCAAATTCAAATTCAAATTCATATATATATATATAATTTTACCCCTCTCTCTCTCTCTCTATATATATATATATAATTGCAGGCTACGAGAGAGAAAATTGTTGGGGATACAATTGAATACATTCAGGGACTTGAGAAAGAGAGAGAGAGGTTGGAGAACCTGATAAAGAAGACATTGTTGCCGGAATCAATGGCGGCGACTCATTGCGCAAACTGGAACTCCTCCGTCGACGTGACGGTCTCGGGTGGCGGGGTGGTGTTTTTCGGGATTCGGTTGGTTTGCCGGCGGCATTTGGCGACGGAGATTTTTGAGGTGTTTGAGAAGCACGAGGCGGAGGTCTTGGCGGCGACTTTTTTGGTTGACGGCGGGCACCACCAGCAGCGGCGGTTGGGGGTCACCGTCACGGCAGTGGTGGGCGGTGATGGAGACGACGTTGGGAAGATCAAGAGAGATATACTGAATTTATAATTAAATTCTGATTAAAAATTGAATTTGATTTTTGTTATGGTATAGTTTTGGCATAAGGTGCTGTTTGGATATTTGAATGTTTACATAGAGCATACAAAGAATTCATTTGATAAAAGAATTCATTGAACGGAGTAAAAAAATACAGTTGTTATTCATTTATATACTCACTGTTTGGAAATTGTAAATCCATTTTGTTAACTGGTAAGTATTCTTAGATCGTTTATTAAATTTTTAAAAATAATTGTACATTTTTTTTTTTATATGTATCATGAAAAAAAACAAAAATTGTACAGGCATTGCTAATCAATGTCTATTATGCTCTGTTGAAAAATTTATGTTGGCCCAAAAGCAAGAATTAAATGATTATACGATTCCTAAGAGCATCTTTAACGTTTCACCTAATTTTTCATTAAATTTGAATAAAAAAATGATCATTTTCTCAATCTAATACAGAATGTTCTAATGGTTGATTTTCATCAAATTTGCTCCAAGGACAACCGGTTGGTCGACCGGTAAGGCAAATTTTTTTTTTTTTTTGAACCTACCTATTTGAACTGTTTGAACCTTTTAGTAGTCGACCGGTAAGGCAAAAATATATATATATATATTTGAATTGTTTGAACCAATTCATTTGAACTGTTTGAACTTTTTAGTGATCAACCGGTTGGTCAATCGCCCGGGCAACCGGCTGTTTGACCGGTTCCTCTCCTCTAACGGTCACGTCACGGCAGTGGTGAGCGGTGATGGAGACGACGTTGGGAAGATCAAGAGAGACATACTGAATTTATAATTAAATTCTGATTAAAATTGAATTTGATTTTTGTTATGGTATAGTTTTGGCATAAGGTGCTGTTTGGATATTTGAATGTTTACATAGAGCATACAAAGAATTCATTTGATAAAAGAATTCATTGAACGGAGTAAAAAAATACAGTTGTTATTCATTTATATACTCACTGTTTGGAAATTGTAAATCCATTTTGTTAACTGGTAAGTATTCTTAGATCGTTTATTAAATTTTTAAAAATAATTGTACATTTTTTTTTTTATATGTATCATGAAAAAAAACAAAAATTGTACAGGCATTGCTAATCAATGTCTATTATGCTCTGTTGAAAAATTTATGTTGGCCCAAAAGCAAGAATTAAATGATTAAACGATTCTTAAAAGCATCTCTAACGGTTCACCTAATTTTTCATCAAATTTGAATAAAAAAATGATCATTTTCTCAATCTGATACAGAATGCTTTAACGATTGATTTTCATCAAATTTGCTCCAGGGACAACCGGTTGGTCGACCGGTAAGATAAATTTTAATTTTTTTTTTTTAACCTAACTATTTGAACTGTTTGAACTTTTTAGTAGTCGACCGGTTGGTCAACTGCCCGGGCAACCGGCTGGTTGACCGATTTCTCTCCTCCAACGGTCACAAATAGTAATTTGCTCAAATCTGTATCCTGTTCTCAATTTGATGATTTTTTTGTTCAATTCTCAATTTGATACCAATTTAGTGAAACCGTTGGAGTTTCAAAGAGTGCATTTTTCATTAAATTTCAAATTTGATGTCAGGTTTGGTAAACCGTTGGAAATGACCTAAAATAACTAAAAAAAATTGTAAGAAAAATTATAAAGTATCATCACCCCAGTGTAACATTATAAAATGGTTTGGCTGTTTTTGAAAAAAAAATTTCTTAATAATTTTTTAATTTTTTTAGTTAAAATATTATATGAAAAAAAAAATTAAAAAAATTAAGATACATTTTGAGTAGAGAAAAATAAACAGTCTTATTGTGAAAGAGGGCTACTCTTACAAACAAATTATACAACAAAAAAAAAAACTTTAAAAATGATCAATCGATTGAATTTTTTAAATTAGGAATAATATTAAAGTGACTTTTGTTTTATTTCTTTAATTTTTAGTTTTTGAGGGATGACAAAGAATGAACATTTTAAACGTTAAAAGAATTCTACTAAATGCAATTCATAACATTAGGAAGCCTTTAAGTGTATCAGAAGTATCTTGCATTAAAGAAAAATTGATTCTCAAAAAACAGTAAAATTCTAAAACATACCCAAAAAATTTATTTAGAATTCTAACCATAAAAAGTGAACAAAAAAAAATAAAAATAAAAATTATATCCTAGGTCAACAGATGCTATAATAATGAACAGCTGGAATAATTTTCTGCCATAAAAAGGGGGGAAATGTAAGAAATATTACAATAAAAAATATTATAACTTAATTAAAAAAACAAACAAACAAATGGAAGAACAAATAAACTGCATACTTGACAATACAAGAGTACAAGAAAAAGCAGTGATAACAATGTCTCCGACCATTCAAAGATGTGAAAATTGTACTGCTACTGGCTCCCTAGGAAGGCACAGGTCGCTCTACATGTACCAAAAAGATAAAGGAAACACAGAACACACTCCATGTCGAGAAACATGGACACTCTCTCAATACACTAATTGCAACTCTCTTTATGAATACTACATCCTAATAGCTTCAGCTTTCATTAGTTAATGTATATTAAACTAAATGAATAGACAAAAAGCATCCAAAATAAGAGAACTACTTGAGAGCATGTGTTGAGGGTTTGTTATCAAACCTTCAAGAAAGTGGTTCCTCATATAGAAACAGGACAGCTTGACGGAGAGCTCTCTGTGGAAGCATTAACAGAAAACTCATATGTTTTGCTGTATTGTGATGCAAAGATTGAGTCCAACTTCTGGTTGTCAAAACTTAAACTTGCCTGGCTGAATAAAATTTAACAGAGAACGCCTTCTTTCTTGGTTAGGTCTTCCATGTTTACATTCACCGCTAAGCCCAAGTTTAGTAGGGCACTAACCATGGCAGGAATATCATTTTGTAAAGCAGCAGCCAGTGCCTGGACAAGACAACAGAAAATAAGCGGTATTTGCATAAGTGACATTTCCTTTTAATAATAGTTGTAACAGAAGGAAGTTAGATTTGTGAATTATGTCCGAATCCGAAAAGTGTTTGCTCATATACTTGAGGCTAAACCTCGCAGACATCATCAAATTTCAAACAAATTAACTTGATGTATTTTAGCGACAAAGCCAATCTTAAATCTTGAAGCTACCCATAATCTCATTTTCAGCAGAAACTGCACGATAATATAAATCGGTACCTTCCTGTCTTCCTCTTTTTGACGCTTTATGACCTCCGAAGGCCACTCACTGACCAGCTTTTGAAGTTCAACCATGATACCAGGCTTCTTTGCATCAGATAGAGTCTGCATCACATATATTATAAGACACTCCACTCAACAGAGAACGTATAATGCCAGGGAAAATGGACAAATTTAAACTCTTCACCATTTTAATTTTTTCTTGGAAAATGCTTTACAAGCTTCTTATGCTCAGAAGTGGCATGCTAATGAAACTACAGTATTTCAAACAGGACCCACAAGAATAATATGATTGGTACAACTCAACTACCACATATGTAAGAAAGAAAAATATGTAAAAAATTTTGGTTTGTATAGCATCACTCTTTTTCTTTTTTTTTCAAATTCGGCAACTATGATCATATTATGCAAGGAAATGAACATCAAGGAACCTGTAGAAAGCACAACACTGGACCACTTAACAGTAAGTTGTAACCTCATAGGATTCTCAAGCAAATGATTAGTCCCCTCCATTTGTCCAGCAATTTTACTTGAAACAGCCAGAAATGTCGTATAATAGGCTCAGCAAACTAAATAAAACTATCAGACATCTGACTACAACAATAGATGGCAGGCAATACAACAAATCAAAACTTTATGGTCATTTCCTATAACTTTGGCAGGAAATTCAGACATTATCGCTTGACCCCTTCTGCAAGAAGACTCAGTGTTAAAATCCACCTACTCTCCACCTACTTCACCCACTTAAACCTACTCCACTAAACCTAACCCACTACACCACTACCACCTCACCTACTCCACTAAACCTAACCCACTACACCACTACCACCTCCACTTCACCTACTCCTTACCTACTACACACTCACCCTCTTCTATATATAGGAATCATGAATCATTGTAATAGAGATCAATAAACATCAATCAATAATACATAAATTCTTACACTCAGTTATTGCTCTCTTGTGAGATTTTCTAACTTGACACAAGGTAGAAGTAAATTTTCCAGATTAATTTCCATTTTAATTTAAAGAGGAGGTAAACTATTTGCTCACTTGCCTTTGTTGGTGTGAGAAAAAAGGAAAGAAAGCAAGTGTATTTGCTCCCACAGTTCCTCTCGTAATTTAGACCCCACACACAAGTACCTGATTGAGAACTTGAATGATTGCAGCAGCATTCTCGGGCTTATGTTCAAGTAGAAAACCCTGCAAAGACGATCAGAAGTAAATATTTAATAAAAGTAAAACCGAAATTCCCTCTCCGTGCCCATATATCATCACTTTCAAGTAAAATTTGTTTGCTGAAAATTGTTAAATTTGCCTCATGCTCCCTGCAGGTCATAAACATTTTATATTCATGCAGTACTAGCTAGCTGTCTAAACATCTCATTCATACAACTACTGTTGCACAACCACACAACACAAGTGCAAAAAGCCTTCAACCCCTAATAGATACTAAAGAGGTTTATTTTATTTTAACCATCATTCCATCTTTTGTATTTACCAACGATACAGCATAAATATCATTTCCCTACCCCCATGCTTAATATATAACTACACTTAGTTGGTTTCTTGGGAGAAAGCTCAAAAGCAGAAAAGCGTCTAGCTTTGATAGAGAGTAATGATAAGATTAATAGTGCAGCTAAAAACTTCTTTATTTGAAAGATAAGCATTCTTCTGTCATAGTATTAGGATGTTAAACAGCCCTTTCTCTTGCACTTCAGGAGATCATAGCTTAAGGAGCCAAGGAACCAAGTCTACGCCAGCTATTTCAAATCAAAAGTTTCTCTCACAAATACATGAACATGTTAGATCAGATGAGTGAAAAACTTGAGATCCTAAATTTTTTTCTTTACATATCATACTAGTTCAAAATCAACTTCTGTTTCCAAAACACAGCATGTAATATGAATGAATTGACACAAGATGGAAATGGAATACCTTGGCACATGAAAACCCACTCAAAAGAGTGTGCTGCTTTATAGATTCGGACCTCAACTTTTCAATTTTCCATAAAGAATCAACATCTCCTGCAAGAGAGAAAATTTAAAAGAATTATAGAACAATATGGCATTTCTTAAGCAAGAGAGTAAGCATCATTTTAAATGAAAGAAAGCGTAACATTCATGAAAACTCAATAAAATGTCTCTTTCCATCGCCACATCCATAATCAGCAGTTGGCAAATAAAAGACAAATGTACATCTCCTCCCACAAAATAATTCAAGAGAATGAGGAATTTGTAAAGACCTATTTTTGCAGCAAATTCCATCCATACATCAAAAGAAGTTTGCCGCAGTTTCGCTCCGGCCATGACAAACCTTTTTGCATACTTAGACAGCAATTCCCAATTATCTGTGTTGTAACAAATGCTGCGATAGTCAAATCCAAGTACAAAAAACATGTGTCAACATTGGAGTAATAAAATGAAATTTTGTATTAATAAAGAAAACCATAGACAATAAGTGATATCTTGATGCTTGTTGCTTCATAACTAAACATGCAGAGTTATCGAAAGAGATGCCACTAATCAGTTTCATTACAGGATCAGCAAAGGCAAAATTAACACTTATTAGGAAAACAATAAAGAAATTGGAAATTTAATGTAGTGATGCTACAATTTGAACCCAACTTCTTAATAGCAACACATGCATGTAGGTGAGCTTTTTACATTACACCATAGACATGTACATACTGAAATATACTTTTGAAAAATAAAAAAGTAACTATACGGCCTGCTCTCACAATAAAAAATTAGACAAAGATGAGTGACTTCTGTAACCATACCAATATCCGTTGATCAAATAAACCTCCAATAGAAATGATCAAGCAGCTTACTAGTTGAAAGATGGACAATAGCTTAAAACTTGACAAAAGATTGCAGAAGCCATAGTTACAGTTTCCTTGGAAGCTCCAGCCTCTAAGAGGCATAAATTCCTTCTTTTCTCCTTTTCTTTTCTTGAAAAAAAAATGTGCAACAATGACAGCTAACATGTGATCTAGTACCAAACATATGCACGCAAAAAACATGTGCTTGACATTGAGGAAGCACAAATTATGTCTAGTACAATGTGGAATATTCCCCTTGGCACCAAATGGAAACAATAGGTAAACACTAGCGATTCGAGCCATAAGAAGCTCAAGATAAAGAAAATATCAACAATCAGAAAAAATCTAAAATGGTTGAATACAAGGCAAACCCCCATTGAACTTCCATAATCAAGACTTCTCTTTAACAGAGCTCTAATTTGTGCTGGTTTGAGATTAGGATGTTTCTGGCCCATGTTATGTCACTTGTTTGTTTTAGAAATTAGGGGTACTTTAGCTGGTTTGCTGGACATGGGCCCATGTTATGTTACTTTTATGTTTTTCTTTTAATACAAAAAAAATCTTGTATTCCCCTGTTGTAATTACAGGACCAAAGCCCTACCATTCCATCACCTCCATACAAACCCTGAACAACCCACCTTTTTATCAATTTTTCACCCAAAATTAACTAAAATCGGCTCTGGATAGAACTCTGACCACTTTGTCCTATATCAACTAGCTGCTGGGTTCAAATGCTCCATGTTAAAACTTAATTTCAGATGAATAAATAGCAACTGAACTGACAAAAAAAAGGTGAGTATAGTCCGATGCATCAAAGATCATTAGACATGTTCATAGCACAATTAGATGATTCTAATTATTAAATAGCACAGCAAAGTACAACAAAATACACATTACAACTAATGTACCTAAAAACAATGTCAGCTGTACCAGGTTGCAATGGTAAATCATTCGTCTTCAGAAGTTTCATTATCTCTACCATGAGTTTAGCATCATTATGCTGCTTAGCATACAACTGCATTCACATAATACCCAATTATTCATTCATGCAACCATTAAGTATAGATATCATAAAACTATGCACAAGACATAAATGTCATAAATACCAGTAAATGGTGGGCAGAACCAATACTAGGAGACAATCCGTACTCATTATGCTTCCACAGTGCCTTCTTACCTGTATATTCGTCAAATCACTATCATTTTCATCTAATCCAGAGCAAAAGATCAAAGAAACTCTTAATAATATACGGGTTAAGAATATCACAGACACCAAAACAGGAAGAGAGGCTACAAAGTACATGACACTTTGCATGTAAGTACTTGATTCTAAAAAGTTTTGAATGAACCATGAATTATTTTCTCTTTGATAAGTAAAAAGTAGAAACTTCACAAAGCAACCCGAAGCCGGCACAACACAACTACACTTGGAGTATACAACAGATATCTCCCAAAAGAAACTCTATAAGGCCTCTGTAGTGCACATAAAAAAATTCAGAAAGGGGGAGAAAAAAATAAATCAAAAGAATAGATCCTCCCTGAGGTCCACAAATTTTGAAGCTTTTAGTATATCCTTACCTGTATTGCATGTCGTAAAATGCAAAAGCCATAAAATTGAAACGGAAAACTCATATTATCACATTTATGTATGGACTACGGCTAGATATTATAAGGAATCATCAATCATCTGAATAAATGTTCAATATACCACTATTTTCTTGGCCAAAAGTTACAGCATCAAGTTGTCATACAAAGGCACTATCCCAATAACTTAGCTCGACTAATCAAGTTTCTGACTAAGTTGAGGTGTTTCAACATACCTTCAAACATTTAAGTACATATATAAATATGTATGAACTCAACAAATGAACAAAAATTAATATCTTAAATGTATCACACTGCCATTCCCATTCCAAAAGAAGCAATATGCCAATTAAAGGTAAGAGATACAGCAAGATATTTCATAGGATAAATGGACATTCCAAATGTTAATAGGTCAAAGAAAGAGGTATGATGGACAAATAGCAATCAATAGCCCCTACTCAAGTAGGTTGTAGAGCCAATCAACTAGTTGTCAAAATAGGAGTTTATGACACAAGCAACATGAAGCTCAAACATAAGTAACACGCTATAAAAACATACCAAAGTCAATAGCCCCTACTCGAGCACATGTCTTAGTAATTTCTCTGCAAAGATTGCAATTAAAATTTTCATGAATGCGAAGATTCGAAAGTCTCTGCAACCAAATAATTAGGCAACTTTTATTAGGCAATTTTCATCTCCAACAAGAATCAAACCATAAAGCTGTAGTTTATGAGTAACTCACAAAAACACGAAGGCGTTTCAAAATGTCAAATAGAAGCTTAATATCATCGTGGTTGGCACAATTTTCAATGAGTGACCACAACCAAGCATTTGGAGGCATGGACCTCTGCTCTGCTACAGACTTAAGCATTTTGTCATACAATTCCTTCACAGTCACTGCAGTCAAACAACACAAATGTCAATGTCCCTAAATAACCATCATAAATGAACTCTCAAACAAATCAAAAGATCCAAAACAAATGCAACAAGTACCTGTCGGAGAGCCTTTGACCGTACTTGCCTCGGTAGAGTACAATACCTTCGGCGCCATCATCTTCATCATTGAGCACAAGCGATTTTGCAATATGCACTGTGCATCATTCAATGCTGATGTCATGCAAGAGCCATGACCAATCCCTGTGTATTTCCACATCTCCATGTTACTTTAATCATTACTTAGCTGATCCTGATAGAACTAATTGACTTCATTAATCTATTTTTTTGCAAAACAACATTGAAACATAAAGACTATAACTTTTCTTGTTGTCTCCTTGAATTCTCTTTTGTTTGTGCTTTCCTACCATTTTCCGCATCTCCGTGTCACTAAATCAATGCAAAACAGATAAAAAAAACTTCACTTGGCTGAGCCTGATATACCTACCACCTCCCTTCGTTACGCTGAAGATTTTTAATTTTTCCATTCTTTGATATAATGTATACCAAAACAACATTGAAACATAAAGGCTGGAACTATTCTTTTGTCTTTCTCATTTAGTTGCACATTCCTAACATTTTCTCAGCAACCAAACGGTAGATTGAAGTGAGCCAATCTCACTCATTCATTTCTTCAAACATATCACAGGTACTGTCTGGTTGCTAAGAAACTGCAAGTTAAAACAGAAAGAAAACTTGACTTGGCTGGGCCTGATATACCTACCCCCTCCCTTCGTTAAGCTGAAGATTTTTAATTTTTCCATTCTTTGATATAATGTATACCAAAACAACATTGAAACATAAAGGCTGGAACTATTCTTTTGTCTTTCTTATTTAGTTGCACTTTCCTAACATTTTCTCAGCAACCAAACGGTAGATTGAAGTGAGCCAATCTCACTCATTCATTTCTTCAAACATATCACAGGTACTGTCTTGTTGCTAAGAAACTGCAAGTTAAAACAGAAAGAAAACTTGACTTGGCTGGGCCTGATATACCTACTAGCCTTCACAAGCTGAAATTTTTAATTTTTAATTTTTTCCATTTTTTCATGATGAGGATACTAAAACAACATTGAAATTCGCGTTTAGTGGTACTTTCCTAACATTTTCTCAGGAACCAAACGGTGAATTGAAGTGAGACAAATGGCGGCGATACCTGAGAACCAGAGAGTGGTGTGATTGCGGCATTGGAGAGAAGAGTGAGGGGCTTCGACGAGAGGCGATTGGAATCGGTGATCCGAGCAGAGAAGAATCGGCGGACGTCGCAGAAGTCTAGCGAGTCGGCGAGCTGTGGATGCAACTTGCATGATTAGTTGTTCCGATGACCACGAGAGAGAGAGAGAGAGAGAGAGAGAGAGAGATTTTGGTGAACTCGGCGAGTTGAGTTGGGAATGTGAAAGAACGATACGACGATGCTTTAGGTATAGAACGATCACGGGAAGAAGAATGAGAGAGGTGTATTTGGGTAGAGCGAAGGTCCAGGGATTGTTAGCTGCACCTGCGTTAACAATCAGGTTTAATTTTCATGATTTTCATAATATATATATCGTCGATTTTCAATATTTTATTAGAAAATTTACAACAAACAAAGTTTCAAAGTTTTGACTATAATAAAATAAAAATTTGATTTTTTTATTTTGTCAATTTAAATTATATTTTGATTTGTTTTTAATGTACACTATTTGTCTCTTTTTATTAGATAAAATTAATAAAAAATAATATTTTAATCATTAAAATTAATAAAAAATTAATATTTTAGACATTTTGTGTACACTTACATAAAGTTTAATGCCAGTTTTACTTAATTAAAATAGACTAATAATTTAATTTGAACAAATCAAATATTATAATTTAAATTGAGAAAATAAAAAATTTAGAGTTTGTTTTGTTACAATAGTCAAATTCTATATAAAAAAAAAAATAAATTATAGGTTGCGTTTGGTTATGTGTTCCAAACACATTTCCACCTACTCATTTGTGTGCGGTATTTATTTTGAACTTTCAAATTAAAATTCCATACTTACTTTCAAAAACTCCTTTCCATGTGGAACCATCTCAGCTTAACTTCAGCTTGTAAATTGCTACAAATTTCAACAAGTGAAGATAAGGAACCATCTCGGCTTAACTTCAACTTGTAAATTGCTACAAATTTCTACAAGTGAAGATAAGGAACCATCTCGGCTTAACTTCAACTTGTAAATTGCTATAAATTTCAACAAGTGTTTAAGCAGTACTTTTCGGTTTAACCAACTTGTAAATTGCTACAAATTTTAACAAGTGGTAAACGCATTTTTCTTCTCTACACCCCCAGTGTGAACTTAAAATCCACTTGGGTTCTCAACATACATGTAGCTTTGACCTTGTCGCCGAGGTTGAATTCAAGCCGAGGTTGTCGGCCTTGGTTTCTCTATTGATCTTACTTGGCTCCAACCTGAGTTTGATTTTCAGCCTCGCATCGGCGAGCCGTTTCTCTTTTCTTGTTCCGACGCCTTTGTTCCCGGCATGTCTTCCTCGGCCCTAGTATACTTCTCAATTCTGGCCAACTTTAGTCTGATCTTGTGTGTTTCCTTTTTATCTGGGGATATATTTTCTGAGTACCAACACGTGGCAAGGTGACGCCGACGTGTCAGCCGAGATGCCACGTGTCCTGGTCGTGACACCGAGATGATTTCGGCAAGGCCGAGGTTATCTCCGAAGATATTGGAATCCGAGATAAGTGGATAAGGGACAAGAGTCCTAGAATGAAAAGGGAACTCAACCTGGATGAGGGATAAGAGTCCTAGAATGAGAGAAGACTTCAATTTATATTAAGATAAGACTCATGTTGAGAGCATCTCCATACCTTACTGGGAGTCCAACATTAGCAGTAATCCTGAGTCCATAGAAGTCAGGCTTCTATTGGGACTAGGATTGAGATGGCTATAAAAGAGAGGCAACCCCATGGGTCTAAGGTATGCTTTTGATACTTAAGCTTGTGAGTTTAGTATTTGATTTATCTTTGAGAGATATACTGACTTGATCGTCGGAGTGCTCCCGGGTGGTCGAAACCACTGCGGGATTTTTATATTTCTATTGCAGGTCAGTCAGGTGCCATCTATTCTGCCAGTGCTCTCCAGCTGGTTACTAAGCGGGCAGTGTGGTCGAAAAATCACCTACACAATTTGGCGCCGTCTGTGGGAAAGAAAGAAGAATAGATGGCCAATGACGAACATAAGGATCAGATTAGAGACAACGCTCCTGCTGGGAGTCGGAGACCTATCGATCTCGACGTTGAAGGGGACAATAGCAACACAGAAACTCATGACCAGAGTCACGGAGTGAAAGAAGCCGGCCAGGAAGGTGACGCACCAAAGACAATAGATCGAAGCAACGAAGACGACCTCCAGGTATGGAAGGACAGATACCTGTGGAGGAACGAAGACCCTTCCAGAAGGGATGCAAAGACAGGGGGCATGAGCGCTCCCAAGGAGATAACATTCAAGTATAGAAGAACTCATCTTGAGTGAGCTGATCCCGGATTCCAGATCCTGGATCCCGGATCCGAGAAGATATGATCTCAGCCTAGACAAATAGGCCCGAGAAGACGAGAGCTTAACCTAAGTGAGCAGATCCCGAATTCCAGATCCCGGATCCTAGAAGACATGATCTTGGCCTAGATGAGTAGGTCCGAGAAGAGAAGAGCTCAACCTAAGTGAGCAAATCCAAGATTCCAGAAGATAAGATCTCGACACCTGAGTCCGAGAAGAGAAGAGCACAATGAGCAGATTTCAGATCCTAGAAGATAAAAAGGAAACACACAAGATCAAACTAAAGTTGGCCAGAATTGAGAAGTATACTAGGGCCGAGGAAGACATGTCGGGAACAAAGGCGTCGGAACAAGAAAAGAGAAACGGCTCGCCGATGCGAGGCCGAAAATCAAACTCAGGTTGGAGCCAAGTAAGATCAATAGAGAAACCAAGGCCGACAACCTCGGCTTGAATTCAACCTCGGCGACAAGGTCGAAGCTACATGTATGATGAGAACCCAAGTGGATTTTAAGTTCACACTGGAGGCCTAGAGAAGAAGAATGCGTTTACCACTTATTGAAATTTGTAGCAATTTACAAGTTGAAGTTAAGCCTAGATGGTTCCTTATCTTCACTTGTTAAAATTTGTAGCAATTTACAAGTTGAAGTTAAGCCGAGATGGTTCCTTATCTTCACTTGTTGAAATTTGTAGCAATTTACAAAATGAAGTTAAGCCGATGTTATTCCTTAATCCACTTGTTGAAATTTGTAGCAATTTACAAAATGAAGTTAAGCCGATGTTATTCCTTAATCCACTTGTTGAAATTTGTAGCAATTTACAAAATGAAGTTAAGCCGATGTTATTCCTTAATCCACTTGTTGAAATTTGTAGCAATTTACAAAATGAAGTTAAGCCGATGTTATTCCTTAATCCACTTGTTGAAATTTGTAGCAATTTACAAAATGAAGTTAAGCCGATGTTATTCCTTAATCCACTTGTTGAAATTTGTAGCAATTTACAAAATGAAGTTAAGCCGATGTTATTCCTTAATCCACTTGTTGAAATTTGTAGCAATTTACAAATAAGAGTTATTGTTTAACACTTGTTATGTTAATCCTTGTTGATCCCTGTTACAGTATATGTTAATCCTTGTTGAAATTTGTAGCAATTACAAGTAGGCTAGACCGAGATCACTGTTTAAAACACTTGTTGAAACTTGAGAAAAAGTTTGCAAAGTTAACATTGTGTAGTATATGTTTCACACTTGTTAGAATTTATGAAAAGTTTGCAGGTCAGTATCTTGCCGAAGTAAAAGTTTTGTAGCTATTATACCCGAGGTATGTAACCCCGAGAAGGTTGCACAAAGGAGGCAAAGTATGAAAGGTATGCAAAATATTCTAAGTATAGAATCATGCAAGAGCAGTTAGAAGAAGATCAAGACAGAATTCATGGTGATTGACACGCCCTCACCATACAATATCATCTTGGGAAGGCCATGGCTGCATACAATGGGGGCAGTTCCCTCAACGTTGCATCAACTACTGCGGTTCCCAACAGAACATAGGATTGAAGAAGTCAGAGGGGATCAATTGCAGGCGGAGAATTGCTCCATGGCAGCAATGAGATCCACCTGCAGCATTCGAGAACTAGAGAAGGTAGAGATTGAAAATGAGGACATAGAGGTACTAGATGATGTCGGCAAGGAGCCAGTCGAGAGGTGTGAAGAGGCACTGAAAATCCTCGTCCAGGAGGGGGATAAAGAACGCTTCTTTCTTCTCGGCTTAGGCTTAGCCGAAGAAGAAGAAAGGGAATTGGAAGCTTTTTTGAGAGAAAACATTGAGGTATTTGCTTGGACACCTTATGAAATGCCTGGCATTGACCCTGAGGTCACGTGCCAGAAATTGAACGTCGACAGGTCGGCCAAACCTGTAATCCAATGAGCAAGAGGGCCAACGTTGATACATGTCGAAGCAGTAGAGGAAGAAGTAGACAGACTTTTGGAGCTCAGGGCCATCCGAGAAGTCAATTACCCGACATGGCTATCAAATACAGTGGAAGAAGAAATGATAATCAAGGAGCAAAGAATGTTAACATCGGCCAACAGCAGACATTTTTCAGAAGCAAAAAAGCATTAGCAGTCAGCTGGAAGAGCTTCTCTACCATTATCTCGGCAACAATTTTAAGAAGGGATGTGGTTCTAAGACTATACAGAAAACAGAAACGAAAGTAAGAATCTGGGAATACAACAAGAAAAACAAGAAAAGAAAAATCAGAGTCAAGAAGATGACAAAGTTGAAGAATAAAGCCAAGTGCACAGGCACTAAGCATTCAAACAATTCAAGACTTGAAGACAGATGAAAATAGAAGGTAACAGATGGCAAGTAAACAGATTCAAAAGAGTTATGAAAGATTGAGCTTAATAGTAAGTAAAGAGTTTATGAACCTACAAAGTGAAATGAACGCCGATATGAAAATCACCGGAGTTAAATAGATGACTGGAAATCGGGAACTCACCAGAGAGTGTGAGTGGAACAGTTGCAAAAGTTCTTGGAGTTTATGAATTAATGGAATCAGAACCTCGGCTAGGAGCTGCGATTTCAAGCAGCTTGGAAGGCATGAATCTTGATATTTGATAGAAGTGGACAGTAAAGTCCAGGGAACTTTGAGGTCGGCAAGTTTGATCTCGGACAGAGGGGCACAGATGAACGAACAGTGTAGGTTCCATCACCTCAGAATGCCAAGGTAATAGAACCTAGGGGGCAGTTGTGGGGATATATTTTCTGAGTACCAACACGTGGCAAGGTGACGCCGACGTGTCAGCCGAGGTGCCACGTGTCCTGGTTGTGACGCCGAGATGATTTCGACAAGGCCGAGGTTATCTCCGAAGATATCGGAATCCGAGATAAGTGGATAAGGGACAAGAGTCCTAGAATGAAAAGGGAACTCAACTTGGATAAGGGACAAGAGTCCTAGAATAAGAGAAGACTTCAGTTTGGGTAAAGATAAGACTCTTAGAGAGTTTATCCTAATCCCACTGGGAGTCCCAGATTAGCAGTAATCCTAAGTCCATTAGGGCCAGGCTCCTTTTGGGACTAGGATTGTATTGGCTATGAAAGAGAGGCACCCCCATGGGTCTAAGGTATGCTTTTAATACTCAAGTTTGTGAGTTTAGTACTTGATTTATCTTTGAAAGATATACTGACTTGATCATCGGAGTGCCTCCGGGTGGTCGAAACCACCGCGGGATTCTTATATTTCTATTGCAGGTCAGTCAGGTGCCATCTATTCTGACAGTGCTTTCCAGCTGGTTACTAAGCGGGTAGTGTGGTCGGAAAATCACCCACACATTTAATCATTAAAATTAATAAAAAATTAATATTTTAGACATTTTGTGTACACTTACATAAAGTTTAATGCCATTTTTGCTTAATTAAAATAGACTAATAATTTAATTGGAACAAATCAAATATTATAATTTAAATTGAGAAAACAAAAGATTTAGAGTTTGTTTTGTTACAATAGTCAAATTCTATATAAAAAAAAAAAATTATAGGTTGTGTTTGGTTATGTGTTCCAAACACATTTCCACCTACTCATTTGTGTGTGGTATCTATTTTGAACTTTCAAATTAAAATTCCATACTTACTTTCAAAAACTCCTTTCCAGGTGGAGAAATTTGGCTAACCCAAACGTTTGGCCGATTGACCGGAACAGTATTCGGGTTTTTTTTCTCTCTCTCTTGGGCACTTGTTATTTTTATATTGTAAATAAAAAATATTTTCGAATTTTTTATAATTTTTATGAGTTTTGAATAGATTTTGGCCTCGTTTGTTTGGAGAGTTAGAGGAGGGATTGAGATTGGTAGTGAGGTGTGATCCATTGATATTGTGTTTGCTTTGAGAAATGGAGAGGGGATTGATAGTGAGCTCCAGATTAGGATGGTCCTCCCCAAGGGGATTCAAATGGACTTCCAGAACTTGGTATTAGAAAAATAGTCCAGCGGACTAGAAATTTTTATTTATTTATTTATTAATTTATTTTTTACATGTTGGACATTTTTTTTAAAAATTAATGTTTAATTTTTTTATATTTTTGTTAAGTAAAAATCATTATTTTATTTGTTTTATTTTTTTCTAGAAATTTTTTATTTTATTTTTATTTTTTTAAAATTTTTTACATGTTGGACATTTTTTTTAAAACATTAATGTTTAATGTTTTTGTATTTTTTTTATTTGTTTTATTATTTATATACAAATCCCTACACTAACAACTATCATCAAAATAAATACAATTTTACTTAATTCCCTCACTATCAATCCTCTCATTAACAATCTCCCCATTATTAATCTCTTTACTATCAATCTCTTCCATTCTACCTCTGAAAACAAACGGAGTATTTAGGTTATGCGTTTGGTTATAAGTTATAAATTTTTGAATAAAATAAGTTTTCTAATTTCAAAAACTCAAAACTCCTTCCAAAACTTAATTCAAAACTCATAACTAAACAAATTTTTCACACTCAAATCATAATTCCAAAACTCACAAACTCAAAATACAACTCTATTCTCAAATCATATTTAGAAAACTCTACCATAATTTTTCCTATATTTTATTTCACTACATGCATTAGAAGAAATGTTGTGCAAACTCCCTAAAAATGCGTTTTCATAGTTTCTACAATTTCTCCGTGACATCAAATTCATATATTTTTCAATAAATTTCTAAATTAGTATTCCAATTGATTGCAGAAATTTTATAGTAAGTATGGGCAGCATAGGGGTGTTTTTTCTTCAAAACATAGATGCAAATTGCAATAGTGAAGACAAGCACTTGCAATCTATACATCTTGGGTTCCAACCATGGAAAAAGTTTATATGCAGGTAAAAGATAAAAGATTTCAGACCCTACCATGACACGAGTTTCAATCACGGAAACTGCCCATGTTTGGATAAGCACTTGTGACCTACACAGAGCACAAGACACGGGCTTAAGATAAATTTCACCCTACCAGAGCAAAATATGGAGTGTGTGTTTCATAACCAGTGTTATGAAGATTGTTGACATTTATTGGAGTGAAATACACACTGGTTTAGAGAAATACACATTTATTGGAGTGCAATATCATATCATATTGCTTCACATTTTCATCAACAAACCACAATGCATCAATATTTTTATAACCACATAGTACAGACCATGACAAGAAGGATTAACAGAATAACAGAACCACTTCCTATAGTCGCGCACTTTCCTATTAGAGTCTACATTTAAGTGTACAGTAGTAACCCTCAGTCATTCCAATGGGTTTCAAGGAAGAATACGTGAGAAACTTTTGTGAAGGATGCAAACAAACAATACAGTTTCAATCATAATGCAATGGCTTTTAATCGTATAAAATGAAGGGGGGGGGGGGGGGGGGGGGGGGGTTTGAAGATGCAGCTAGAAATGCCCCCCTCTTTCTCGCTCTGGCAATAGCTTTCATTGCACCTAGAAACACACCCTATTTCTTCCTCAGCCACTAGCAAAATGTTGCCTCAGAAGCATGAACCAATCATTGAGGAAGGATCGGAGGTGCAATTGTCTGTGTATTGTATGATTTGCAGTGGCTGCATTTCTGCCCAACTATGTGGAAGAAAACTTCAGTTGTGTCATTACAGTCATTACATAGAATCCAAACCTGCAAACCTTCTGTTTTTCAGATTCTTCAAGTAAAATGAATTTTAATGCAGCCAAGAGCCAACAAAGACGATTTCACAAAATCAAAATGGAAGATGTTCTGATTGATCATAAGCAAAATGACGGAACTCTAAATACAATTTTTTCTTATAATTCCTACTTCAGAAGGCATATTTAACATTGATTTCAAATTGTTCAAATTAAATGAATTTAATGTAGCCAAGAGCCAACGAAGATGATTCACAAAATTTAAATGGAAATGTTCTGATTGATCATAAACGAAACAAAACAACTAGGAAATATGTATAGGGAACTCTAAATCCAATGTTTTCCTATGATTTCTACTTCAGAAGGCATATTTGGGAACTGCAAACCTCTCCTCAAGTTGCACTGGCTTTTAATATATATATTAACAATTGGCAATAGTTTTTAACAGATATAACAAGATGAAATGGTAGTACCTTCTTATACCGAAAATCCTCGAGCATGACGGTTGCTTCAATCTGACAAAATAAGAAAACTTCTAAGTTGAGCATATCACAGTTGAAGCAATTCAAAGATGATAATAGTTATGACTTGGTACAATTAGCAATCGAACCTTTTGTACTAAATATAACCCATGCATCTTAGTATTTTTAGTACAAATAAACATATACAGCAAGTGTTGGTGCTAAAATATGAATTTTGTTACTACAGCTGTTCGAGAAGAAAAGGATACACCAAGAAAGATTACCAGAGACAAACTAAGCAGCAAGTACAATTTTTTGCCCCACATAGAAAAATAAGATCACTTGTGGAAAGCGATAATATGTGGAACACTACTTTTATATCAATAACTAGCTTGGCAGACAACATGGATCAATACAAGAAAAATGAGAGAGAGAGAGAAAGAGCTTTCTAATAAATCCAAATTGTAGCTTTGCATGAAGTAGAAAGTAACAATACTTATCCATGACCTTTGTTATCACCCTTTAAGTTAGGTTGTATGAAGTGATCAGCTTTATAAGATAAAGTTCATTCTCTTAAAAATACACAAATTTTATTCACAAGTCAAGGCTACAACAGTATTGATCATTGAGCAATGAACATCTATCTATCCAATAAACGCACCTCCTCTTCTATAATCTTCCAACTTCTAAACTTGTCAATAACTGATTTGGAGCATATGGGACAGCAATATCTGAGTGACATAATCAAGGAAAGTTGGAAACCATAGAACAACTATTTTCACTAGTAAACAAACAAAGGGAAAACAAGGTGATTTCTGTGATATAAATGCTTACTTGTCATGCTTCATCATCTCAAGGTAACATTCACGGTGCATTGTGTGCCCACATTTCATAACAGTGGTGTCTTTCAGTGAGTCAAAGAGATACTGTTAAAAACAACTCCGCCAAGGTTAAAAACTTAAAAGCTTTTAAGAAATGATCTTAAGAACTAGCAAGTTAGAAAGCAAACCTCATAACATATAGGACAGTGGTGCCGCATGGAGTTTTCCACACATAAGTGATTATCAAGCAGACCCAATGCATAGCATGATCCTAATAGGAAAAAATATATTAGAATTGGGGAAAAAATAAACAAATAAATAAATAAATAAAAAGGTTAAATGCGTCTCACACAATGGATTAAACTATAATTGATAAAAGAATGGTAAAATCAAGATGAAGAAGAGAGAATACTAAGATTGGTAAGATTACAGCAGTCCAAAACAAGACGTGGTTTAAAGAATTTAATAAGGACTCATTGTGGAAATTGACAAAACTAAAACAGCTGTAACCAAAGTTACCGAACTGATTGGTTAGTGAAGAAAGGAAATGTGAAGACTCCACTTAATATTGCTGCGTGGCCAGAGTGTTAAGCCACCCCAAATATTGGATAATCAAAGGGGTATTCATGGCAAGTTGTAGCCAAATACAAAGACTTCATAAACATACCAAGTCTACGACAACACACATCTCTTCACCATCAGCATTTTCCTGTTTTTTCTATGATTTACTAGAAGCATCAGCAACCCGTTTACCATCAATTTAAATACTACAAAATATGGATGCATCTACAAAAATAGTCATATTTATTGATGCAGCATGACAAACTCTGAATTCAGTCTCCACTTCCATCCCCGGTAGAATGGAAACTTGTGAACATGAAAAGATGTTCAAAACCAACAAATCTAATAGAGAAACCCAGTCACTAGATTTAAATAAGAAAAATTACAGATTTTGTTACTTGAAATTTACGAAGAAATAGAAAAGAATGACCACTGTGCCATCTTTTTCCTTAATATTTGTTCAACTTTGGAAGAAGAAAAAAGAGTTTCTAGTTGCAGTGAATATAAAGACAGTACGGGATTGAGTGCATACCACACTTCTTGCAGTGAAAAAAATTCTCACGACCACCAACTCTGAAAATAATATAACGTAAATTAGATGAGAACAAATTCAAATATCACAGATTGATTTTGATTAATCAACAAATAGAAAAACAAAAAAATAAAAATAACACAACTTTGCTCACTAACCTGCAGATCCCACAATCGTCACAATGAAACTGCCCTTTGTCAATCTACAATAAGCTTACGTAGCAATTAGCATTTAAAAAAGACAATATCAACAATGATATCATAGTCATAGTCAAATCACAAATTTATATATAATCCTTGCTCTTCTTGAGCTTGACAGTGTACTGACTAAAACGTCAGCAACACTCAACAATCACACATAAATAAATTATCAATTGCTCACTACCGACAGTGGATATAAGATGCAATAGTTAACATACATCATCATCGTAGAATTTGCACACTTCGCAGAAATATTCTCCCATATTGACTCCACAATTGGTACAGACACGTACCACCTGCTTACATGTGAGATAAATATCAATGAAACCAATTAGAATACTGATCAAAAACAAGATCAACAAAGCAAAAATCTAAAATCAAGAGACACCTACTGGCTGCTCTGTATCGCAAACTGAGCAAATAACCTGAAACATCAATACAAAATTCACACCCCTTTTATCATAATTCAATCACAATAAAACTTAAATAATTGAACAAATAGATCCATGATTAAACATACTTGCTTAACATCAGTCCGAACAAGTTCGTGCCGATCAAAGGGGCTGCTCAACGTGCTCTAATGAATCCAAAAAAAAAATGAAGTAAAATAACAAAAACCCACATCAAAAACAGATCTATAGTTATATATTTTGCACTCAATCTAAAAAAAACAATGCAAATTGAGCTGGTGCCAATTTAAGGGATAGCTAAGCACGCTAAAATTGAGCAAACAAATACCCAGATCAAAAAAATGAGTAATTTGATCATAATACCGTGGATTCATTGTGACAATGACGACAATCGAAGACTTCGTTGCAGCAGGGAGCTCTAATCTTGCATCTTCTCCTATAATGCTTGCATCTGTAGAAAAATTAAATAAACCAGAGCATCAAAAATCAAAGTAATCATCAAATAGAGCTCAACCCACCAACCAAAAAGTAGAAGATAATACAAGAAATAAATAAATAAATACCCATAACCCATCTTCCCAAAATCAAGTCTTTCATTGGCAGAGCCTTCCATTGTTGAATTGGAGCAAATGGAAAGAGAGGTGAGAGGGATGGAAGGCACAGAATTGGATGATTTGGGAAGATGGGGATATGGTAAAGCATCAAAGCGAAAATGCCATCAAACTGGGACAGCGACCTTTGATTATATACACACCCATCACTTTGCTTGCCCTCTTGAATATAATAATATGCATATTATATACGAACGGCCAGTATCTAAGATTGTTTCATGACTTAACAGTCTGTTTGGATTGGTAGTTTTGGTGAGAAAAGTGAGAAAATATAATTTTTTTTTATTTGCTTTTTCTACTTTGATCTGAGATTTTTTTTAAAAAAATGACAATCCAAATGGAGTGTTAAAAAATAAAAATTATATTGAAATTTGTGGGGATATATATTCTGAGCATCAACACGTGGCCGAGGTGACGCCGACATGTTGGCGGAGGTTCCACGTGTCCTAATCGCGATGCCGAGATCATCTCGGCATGGCCGAGGTTATCTCTGAAGATATCAGAATCCGAGACAAGCAGATACGGGACAAGAGTCCAAGAATGAAGAAAGACTTCAAGATGGATAAGGATAGTATTCTTAGGGGATCTATGATTATCTCTTGGGGAGTCCAAAGTAAGCACTGAATAGGAGTCCATAGAAGTCAGGCTTCTATTGGGACTAGGATTGAATTAACTATAAAAGAGAGGCACCCCCGTGGGTCTAAGGTACGCAATTTATAGTCTGAATAGTGAGTTTTACACTATTGATTATCTTTGAGAGATATATTGACTTGATCGTCAGAGTGCCCCCGGGTGGACGAACCACCGCCGGAGACTTCTCTTTCTGTTGCAGGTTAGCTAAAAGCCATCTATTCTGCCGGTGCTTTCCAGCTGATTACTAAGCGGGCAGTGTGATCAAAAAATCACTCACACAATTTGGTGCCGTCTGTGGGAACGAAAGAAGAATAGATGGCCAGTAACGAACAGCAAGAAAACATTGGGGACGACACTCCTGCTGGGAGTGGGAGACCTATCGACCTCGATATCGAATGAGACAACCGCGACACAGAAACTCGTGACCAGAATCACGGAGCAAAAGACGTCGGCTAGGAGGGCGACACTTCAAAGAAAACAGACCAAAGCAGGTACTATAACGAAGAAAACCTCCAGGTATGGAGGGATAGATGCCTACGGAGGGACGAAGAGGTAAAAGAGATGGCAAACAAATTGGCGGACCTACAATCGGTCGTCAACTTTATGATGCAAAACAATGTCATGCAACCACCATTCCCGTTGTAGGACACGCCGATTCCAGCGGCTTATGCCCAGAGGGGAGGGCAGAAAACAATCCCTATAGCCCCTCAACACACCAGGAGTGAAAGACACTCTCACCGACTCTCAAGGGAGGTCGGGCGAGGAGAGTCAAGGAGGGAGGAATCACGGAGGACGCATCACACCAAGGAGGCCGACCCCAAAAAACATCGGCATGTTCAGGGGCAGGTACTATGCTTCAACACACCTAACGGAGAAGGGTCGAAAAGGGCTCGCAACGAAGATGAGGGCAGTGCTCCGAAGAGACTGAAGTCAGGAGACAGCCGAGCTCCTGGCCGGAAAAAAGAGGACTTGAGAGATTACCTTAAGAGAAGGCAAGATCATGCCGAAGTAACATCCACTGTAAAGCCGAGAACTCCATTCTCGGTAAAGTTAGACAAATTTGAGGCGCCGAAGAGATTCAGTATGTCGAGGTTCTAGATCTATGATGGTAAGTCAGACCCCAACTTCCACGTTGGATTATACTTAAACTCAATGGCATTGTATAGTGGGAACGAGCCGTTGCTCTGCAAAGTGTTCCCCTCATCCTTCGGGGAGATTGCATCAGATTGGTTCCACAAACTACCAAAGGGAAGCGTGAAGACTTGGGAAGGCCTGGCCGAGATGTTTGTGGCCAGGTTCGTGACAAACAAGCTGCAGCCATTAAGGGTGGACGCATTGATGGCTCTGAAGATCAGTAATGATGAAGGCCTTAGGGCCTATGCAAAAAGGTACTATGAGGCGTTCAAACGAATACCCGAATGCAACCAAGAGGTAGCGGTCGTGTCTTTCAAGAACGGCCTGAAAGACGACTATCCACTAAGGAAGTCCTTGGCAAAGACATTGCCAAAAAGTATAGAAGAGCTCATGGCCAGAATCAAGAAGTACGCCAGAGCCGAGGAAGATACGTCAGGGAACAAGGAGACGAAGCAAGAAAAGGGAAATGGCTCACCAAAGCGAGGCTGAGGTAACAATGGATCCAGCAAACAAGAAGCCGAACTGAGGGCTGCACAGATAGTGACAACTGTGTACCGAATTCCATTTCACAAAGTCCTGGATCAAATTCGGAACCAGCCCTATTTCAGAGCACCAGCAAGGGCACCAAGGGAATTCATGGGGAGGAACGTTGGCAGGCGTTGTGCCTACCACAATGAAGAGGGGCACATGACTCAGGGTTGTAGAGCCCTAAAAGCACACTTGGAAGACTTGGTAAGGCTAGGCTATCTGAGAGATCTGGTCGGCGAGGCCAGAACAAGAGAAGAACAGACAAGATTGCCTCAAGCACCAACAGCTCTGCCTCCCCCAGCACAGCAACCACAAGCAGGAGGACCTCGGGTGTTTAATGTAATTCACTTGAAGGTGAACGAAAACGACATACAGGGGGAGACCCAGAGGGTGAAACACCTACAGCACGTGAACCATGTTAGACAGAAAAGACCTCAGCCTGGAGAGTGCCAGGGACCGATAATAGCCTTTACTGAAGTCGACTTAGAGATGGTCCAGCATCCGCATAATAATGCCTTGGTAGCATCCCTCCAGGTTGGAGAGTGCCAAGTGAAACGCATCCTGATTGACCAAGGTAGCTCTTGCGACATCATGTATGTTAGATGTTACAAGGAGCTGGGCCTTCACCCTAATGACATGGAGCAATCCAATGGCCCGATGGTCGGGTTCAATGAAACGCCGACATGGCCACTTGGCGCAACAAACTTAGAAGTACAAGCCGGCACTAGGAAGATCAAGATAGAGTTCACCATAATTGACATACCCTCTCCTTACAACATCATCTTGGGAAGGCCATGGTTGCATGCAATGGGGGCAGTTCCCTCAACATTGCATCAACTGTTGCGGTTCCCAACAGAACATGGGATTGAAGAAGTCAGAGGAGATCACCTGTAGGCAAAAAATTGCTCCATGGTAGCAATGAAATCCACCTGCAGCATTTGAGAGCTAGAGAAGGCAGAAATCAAAGACATGGACATGGAGGTCCTAAATGATATTGGCAAGGAGCCAACTGAGAAGAGTGAAGAAGAACTGAAGAAAATCCTCGTCCAGGAGGGGGATGAAGAACGCTTCTTTCTTCTCGGCTCGGGCTTAGCTGAAGAAGAAGAAAGAGAGTTGGAAGCTTTTTTAAGAGCAAACATTGAGGTGTTCGCTTGGACACCTTACGAAATGCCAAGCATTGACCCCGAGGTCACTTGCCACAAACTGAACATCGACAGGTCGACCAAACCTGTAATCCAACATGCAAGAAGACCGACGTTGATGCATGTCGAAGCAGTGGAAGAGGAAGTAGACAGACTTCTGGAGGCCAGGGCCATCAGAGAAGTCAATTACCTGACGTGGCTATCAAATACAGTGGTAGTAAATAAGAAGAATGGTAAATGGAGGGTCTGTGTGGACTTTACCAGCCTGAACAAGGCTTGTCCCAAAGACAGCTTTCCCTTGCCTAAGATTGACCAGTTGGTGGACGCAACGTCAGGGCATGGAAGAATGAGTTTCCTAGATGCCTACAAGGAGTATCACCAAATAGCCATGTACCCCCGGATAAAGAGAAGACTGCGTTTATTCCCCAAAAGGACTATAATGCTAGAAGGTGATGCCTTTTGGTTTGAAAAACGCAGGAGCAACTTACCAAAGGTTGGTAACCAAGATGTTCAAACACTTGATTGGCCGAACAGTAGAAGTCTACATCGATGACATGGTCGTGAAGACCAAGGAACCTGAGGGTCATCTTGCCGACCTAAAAGAAGTCTTTGAGATCCTCAAAACATATCGGCTTCGACTCAATGCATTGAAATGTGCATTTGGAGTTGGATCTGGAAAGTTTTTGGGGTACCTGGTGACCAGAAGAGGCATTGAGGCTAGCCCAGATCAGATCAAGGCCATCCTAGAGTTAAAGAGCCCGACGTCGGCAAAACAGATACAAATGCTTACTGGAAGGGCCGCAGCCCTAAACAGGTTTATAAGCCGAAGCTCAGACAAGTGCAAACCTTTCTTCAACTTAGTGAAGAAAGCCACGGACTTCCTGTGTACCGAAGAGTGTGAATTTGCTTTGGCCGACCTAAAAAAGTATCTGACCACAGCCCCGGTCCTCTCAACACCTGCACCCGGAGAAGAGTTGTTTTTGTACTTAGCAGTTTTAGAACACGCAGTAAGCGCGGTGGTAATCCAAGAAGAAAAGGGGGAACAAAAGGCTGTTTACTATATAAGTAAGACCTTGGCCGATGCAGAAACAAGGTATCTACCCGTAGAAAAATTAATGCTGGCCTTAGTAATGGCTTCAAAGAAACTGAACCATTACTTCCAGCCCCACAAGATTGTGGTGCTAACAGAACACCCACTGAAGTCCTTGTTGCAACAAAGGGACTTAACAGGAAGAATAGCCAGATGGGCAGTAGCCTTGGGCCAGTATGACCTGGAGTTCAGGCCAAGAACAGCAATCAAAGGCCAATTTTTGGGCGACTTCGTGGCCGAGTTCACGCCAGAATCCATCGTACACCGGGCTCCGTTGAGCCTAGGAGAGCAATGCCCAAGCAAGGAAAAAGAAGCACAGCCGAATACAACACAACAAAGGAAAGAAGAGAAACTCAGACCTTGTAGCATTTACATCAGCGACTCCTTTCGATTGTTCGTTGATGGGAGTTCAAACCGACAGGGAGCGGGGACAGGAGTAGTACTGATATCTCCAGATGGGGAGATATTGGAACAGTCCATTTGATTGGGGTTCAAGGCCTCAAACAATGAGGCAGAATATGAAGCATTGATTGCAGGACTACAGCTGGCAGCAGCAGCAGAAGCAGATGATGTAATAGTCTTTCGTGACTCA